CTGAGAAGTCGTCTCCACCGCAGGCGTCTGGATCCAGTCCTCTAGCCTCAGGGTCAGACGCTAGCAGGGCCTCGACGCCACCTGCGCCAGTCCCAAACGACCAGCGTGGCCAGGGAGATGAGGACGAGGCCGGCCAGCCCGAGGCGGACTAGGTTGCCCCGGGTGTAGTCCAAGGAGCCTGACCCTGTGGAGCCAAAGGGGCCAGCGAGGCAGGCAGGCAGGCGGGCAGGCGGTCAGCATCTCTAGCCGAGGTCTTTTGCTCCGCCCTCCAGATCGCCGACCTCCAGGGTGAGTTGGGGACACAACTCGCTCCAAGTTGAGAGGAGTCGATGGGGAAAGTGGGGTGCAGGGGTGCAGGACCTTGGATTCTGGGTCTGAGAGAAGAAGGGTCTGGGGGCCCAGACTCCAGGGTCCAAGGGGTTGAGGGGCTGGGTTGGTGGCCCCTTACCGTCGAGGCTGATGACCAGCTGCTCGCTGCGCTCTGACAGCACGTAGGGCGCTGCCAGCGTGTGGTAGTAGCAGGTGTAGGTCCCCGGGGCGCGTGCACGGGGCAACTGGAAGTCAGCCCAGGGCTCAGTGGCCCGCAGGTACTGCAGCGGCGCCGCCTCGCCCACGCGGTACAGCACGAAGCTCATGTTGCGCACGCGGCCGGCGCAGCGCAGGCTCACGGTGTCACCTGGCGCCCCTGCCGGTGCGGGGAGCGCCACTAGCGACGGGCGCGGCAGCTGGTCTTTGAGCGACAAGAAGGGGACCAGCGTGGGCGTGGCCCTGCGCCTCCGTGTCCTCTCTCTCCCTCCCTGTGAGTCCCTTTTCCCCTCTGTGCCTAAAATTCTGTCTCTGTTTTCATCTCCCCGCCTCCAGAGTTTCACTCTCCCTGGATCTGAGAGGCAGTGCTCCCCGATTTTCTCTCCCTGTCTTTGTGTGGCTCTCCCAGGGTTCGCCAACCTCAGCCCCAGTGACATTTTGGATAAATCTGCATCATTCTTTGTTGTATGGGGTGAAGGGCTGTCCTGAGCAGGGCACAAATGCCCCTGGTTGAGAGTCACCTCTGTCTGTCTCTCTCTCCCAATCTCTCTCTTTCCTTTGTGTTATTGTACAAGCCTGTCTCGGTCCCTCCTGCCCCTTCCTCATCCCACCCCTGTGTCCCTTCTCCTCCCCTGTCCCCAGAACCTCACCTGTCACCAGCAGTTCCAAGGCATCGCTGGGTTGGGACCAGACGCCCCGCACCCATGGTAGACTGCTGTAGCGGCAATGGTAACTGCCCGCCTGGACCTCTGTCACCTCCTCCAGGAAGAATTCCGCCATCTGCCTGAACAGCACTTCCTGGGACAGCACGGGGGTGGTCTGTCCAGACTTGAAGAGTACAAACCTCCAGGCGAGTTGGGGCGCCCGACACGTCAAGGTCACATTGACCCCGGGGCTCACAACTGCAGCAGGCTGAGCCCGCAGCCAGGGCTTGGGGTGTGAGGGTTCGGGCACTGAATAAATGGGCGTGCTGGGTCCTTGGGCTTCCTGGGTACCTGCAGACATGAAGGGGAAGCTGGGGTGAGAGAAGAGTCACCTGCGACAATTGCTGTCCCTTTCTCAGCCTCAGTTCCCTGTTTGTGAAATAGGAAGGTGCTGGATGGACCCTCAGTGGACTTGTCAAAACTAGCTGCCAACCGCAGGAGCAAGGCATGAACTCCTGAGCTTTCCTACACAGTTTTTAGACCTGATGTCCCAGGAATCTGTGATTTTAAATTGCTCTCCAAAAGTTTTAACATATTTCAGTAGTTGCCAAACTTGCTATCTGTTTTGGGTGTGTGTGTTTGGGTCGGGGGGTGGAATGTTGGATTTCCACCTCACACCCTTTCCCAAAACAAGTCCCCAGTTAATAAAAGACCTACATGTATTTTTTAACAATAGAAGTATTATAAGGAAATACCTTTGTCTTAGGGATAGAGAAAGCCGTCTTAAAATATAAACTAAAAATTCAGAAGGGACAAAGTTAGTAAATTTGACCCCTTCAACATTTTCAAGTCGCACCTGAGAAAAAAACAAGTAAATGGCAATGCTGGCTGAAATGACTGACTTATAAATCACATACATTCAGAGCAAATCCAAGGGCCAACCCAGCTGGACTTTGGGTAGAATATGTGACCAAGCAATTCACAGAAGAGGAAGCCCAATTGACCAGAACATGCTTGGAAGTGGTTGGAAGGATTACTCAACCTTTGTAGTAATCACTTAAGAAAAATTAAAACAACAGTAAGGTATTTTTGACTATCAGATTGTCAAAATTAAAAGAATGATTAATATTTCATTTGCATGAAGATGTAGTAGACACTTAGGCTATACTTGACTGTGCCTTTCAAGAAGGCAGTTTGTCAGTTTCTATCAAGATACACAAAGGGCATGACCAACATCCCAATAATTTCATGGCTGCACCTAGATAAACACACTTATACATGCACAAAAAGTTCAGCCCAGCTTGTGTGGCTCAGTGTATTGAGTGAGCGCCAGCCTGCAAACCAAAAGGTCACTTCCAAGTTCAATTCCAAGTCAGGGCACATGCCTGAGTTGCAGGCCAGGTTCCCAGTTAGGCACGTGCGAAAGGCAACCAATCTATGTTTCTCTCATACATCAGTGTTTCTCTCCCTCCTGTCTCCCTCCCTTCCACTCTGTAAAATAAAAATAAATAAATAAAATATTTTTTAAAAAAGTTCATAAACTGAAAAACTAAAAATAAATAAAATAAATATAAATAAGTAAAATAAAAAATAAATAAGTAAAATATTTTTTAAAAAAAGTTCATACAGAAACACTAAATATACAAAAAAAAAAAAGGAGGGGGCAAACAAATTAGAATCCAGCCATACAATGGCAAATGCTAGACAGCAGTTTAAAAGGAAAAAAAAAAAAGGTAGAGCTAGCTAAATGACATGAAAATACGCCCTAGAGAGATTGTAAATTGGAAAATATAAGACTCAAAAAGAAGAACATGCAGTACAGTGTGAGTCATGAAATAGCGATTTTGCCTTGGCAAGGAAACCAAGAAGTATATAAATACATATATGTGTTTGAATGCTTGGAAATTTTTTGTAAGGATTCAGAAAATTAAGGAAGATATGAAGCAGGGGAAGAGAGAGGCTGTTATATGTCCTTCAGTAGTGATTGAATTTTTAAAACTATGAATACATATTAGTTTTATCACTTGAACATAGTAATTTAAAATAAATTGATAACTTAGGTACTAGTGGTTCACTAGGTGGTTCTTATTTGAAGTTGGAGTGTAGTGGGAGGAGGAGGAGTTTGAGAGAAAGAGGGGATCTCACTATCAGAAAATCTGGAATAAAAAAAACCCAGGTCTATTCAGGATGGGGGACCCTACTTTCCAAATGAGGGAATAATTAGCATTGCTAGATATCCTATCTCTGGGCTCTGTGCTATGTCAAATTCTGAGCCCAGAGTTTTACACATGTGATTTTATTAAATCCTCACAACATGCCCATCAGTAAATGAATGGATCAAAAAACTATGGTACATTTACACAATGGAATTCTATGCAGCAGAAAGAAAGAAGGAGCTCCTACCCTTTGCAACAGCGTGGATGGAGCTGGAAAACATTATGCTAAGCGAAACAAGCCAGGCAGTGAAAGACAAATACCATATGATCTCACCTTTAACAGGAACCTAAATAACAAAACAAAGAAACAAGCAAAATATAACCAGACACTGAAATAGAGGACAGGCTGATGGTGACCGGAGGGAGAGAAGAGGGAATTTAAGGGGGACAGTGGGAAGGGTTCGCAGGAACAAACTTAAAGGACACATGGTCATAGACTAAGGGGAGGGTGGTAATGGGAGGGAAGTGGGGAGGGTTGGGGGGGGGGACTGGATTGGGAGTAAAAAGGAGAAAACTGTATTTGAACAATGATTAAAAAAAAAATCCTCACAACAGCCCATTTCACACAGAAGGAGACTGAGTCTTCACTTGCAGTGGCTTGTTCAAGGTCATAAATGAATAAGATGGTGAAAGTGGGGTTCCTGTTTAGGTCTCTTTAGCTCCAGAGTTCATGGTCTTCACTACCTACCTATACTGGTCACTAAAGGGAGTGAGGACGGACAGAAATGAAGGAGGGGGAGAGGGAAATAAGGAAATCGGGAATGTGATTGTGGGCACCAAAAATAAAATTGGAGTAGTTGGAAAAGGGATGTCAGCAACATGCAGGGGAATGGATGGGGGGTGTACTCACCCGTCCAAGTGATGCCTGGGTGACACAGGGGCCCTGTAGAAGGTTGAGGGGGCTTGGTCTTGTCAAAGCCCTAGGGTACTCCCAGTCCCACATCATTGGCAACCCCAGGAATCTAAGTCCCCAGGCCCTCTTTCCTCCAGGAAACAGGAATCTTGGTCATACTTCCTCCTTTCTTGGTAGCCATAAATCTGGACTTCCAATCCCCACCTACTTAGGAAGCCAGAAGTCTGGACCCAGGACCCTGTTGCCTCTGTACTTTACATGTCAGGCCTTTGGACTGCACCCTTTCCAGGAGACGGTAATCTGAGAGCCCACAGTTTCTCCTCCCTGGGTTCAGGAGTCTGGGTTCCAGCTCCCGCCTTTCCCAGGGACCCAGGTACCCTGGCTTCCATCTCCCCACCCACATCAGAATCTGGGAATTTATACTCCCTGTCTGCAAGAGTTCAGGTCTGTAGCCCTCTCCTGCCTCAAGAGCTGGAGAACTCTGCCCCCAACTTCCTCTTCTTCCAGGATCCCAGGGATTCAGGGCCCCTGTGTCCTCTTGCTTTAAGACTTAGAGGACTGGGCCCCTGTCCTGTCCCATCATTCTAGTCTGGAGTTCCCAACGCTCAGCTAATGATGCCTACTCACCCTGCACCCTCAGGGAGACTCAGCAGTCCTGCCCTTTGCTCGCACCCCGCCCCCTCTAGGTTTCTGGGACCCCAGAGTCTGTCTCTCTGAACTCCAGCCCAGCCAGGGACCCAAAGAGAGGGCGTGCGGTGGCTCACAGAAGGTCAGCAGCTGCAGGATCAGCACCAGGGCCATGGTGGGCAGGTCTGGCTCAAAGTGGAGTGGCAGCCAGTACTTAGCCGTGCTCTCTCAACTTCCAGGAAGTGAGGCAACATCAGAAAGTCGGAGTCAGAGGTTTGTTCAGGGAGGGAGCAAGAGGGGGGGTGGCCTGGAGGACTGTGTCACAGCCCCATGGTGCTGTGGGAAAAGTTGGAGTTGGGGCAGTCATAACCCGTTGTGTTCATTAATTAAACTTTAAAAATACTTAGCAGGTGTTATGTACTAGACCCCGCTGCGCGATTCTGGGGAACACAAAGGAGTCAGACCTCATTAGTGCCCTGCAGCAGCTCCCAGTCTGGTGGAAGGACAGATGCGGACCAAGTCAGTTTTAAAAATAAGTGATGTGCGTTATAATGGAGGTCCCATAGGACACTGTGAGAATCCACAGACGACGAGAGTTAGGGCTTCAGGGCGAGCTGAGACCTCAAATAATAGCTCTGTCATTCGTCCGCTCCCAGCCTCCGGTTTCCCATCTGTAAAATGGGCTTTCATAAGTAAACTACGAAATGAAAACCATTTCATTCTGGGCAGTAGAATTTACTCGTCTAGAGCGATTTCTAGGCAGAGGGAACAGAGGGCGGCAGCAAGTATGCCGAGGAAAGCTTGCACTAAAAGCAAGAACTTGGCCTTCTGTCCTGCCACCGCCCAGAACATTGGTTCTGCGCTAGTGCGCAAGCGCGGACTCAGCGGAGCCTCCGGCGCCGGGACCACAATTCCCAGGGTGCCCCGCGCCGTTGCCGCCGAAGCCGCTGCTGCCGAGACCAAGATGGCTGGGAGTAAGTTCGGGCACCAGCTGAGCGTGGGGCGCGGGGAGAACCCGGGCAGTCTGGGGCTAGGGCGCAGCGGTACTCCCTTGGAGGCGGCAGGGTTGGAGTCGGAGGGGGACGCCGAGATCACGAGAGGGCTCCTGCAAGGCGCTGGTCGGGGAGCTCTCCAGAGGGTTAGAGGTCACCAGGGGCATTCCCAGCTGGAATGACCCTCCCCACCCACCTCCCCAGGACTCGCCGCCTTCCTCAAGAATGCCTGGGCCAAGGAGCCGGTGCTGGTCGCGTCCTTCACCATCGGGGGCCTCGGTGCGTGAGCGCGAACGTACATATCACCCTAACCGGCGTCCCATCTTTACCTTCCCCACCCGCCCCAGAGTTCCCGTGTCCCCCCCCCCCGCCCGCCACCGCTGGCATTCCATCCTTACCCCCCTCCAAGACCCCCTGGCCGCTCTCTATGTTCTGTGTCAACACCCCCACGACGTCCCCTGCCCTACCCCATCCCTGATACTATGACCCCTTCACCAGTCCCATTCTTCCCCACCCCAAGAGGTCCCTAATGCCCCTCTAGGAGAGGATCCCAACCCTGGCTGTGCATTAAAAGCACCTAAGCGATAAATAACAATAATAATGACTGTCCGCATCCTTCCCACTTTCACCATCCAATCTCCCAGTGGCTAATGTGCGACCTGACCGAGAGCCTTTGCTTTAGGGCAGGGTTACTCATGAACGTGCATTGGGGTCACTTGGTTGTGTGTGGGGGGGGCGGGGGGGGTGCTTGTTAAAATGCAGGCCCTGATTCAGCAGGGCAGGGTGGGGCCTGGGATACTGCATTTCTGACAAGTCCCCAGGTCTCGTGAACGCCACTGGTCTGCAGGTAATTGGGTAAGGTTCTTAGGAGACAGTTGGCCCATAGGCCACCTTGGCCACGGAGCCCTTGAAATGCTAAGTGTTACACCCAATGCAAAGTATACACTGGACTTCAAAGATTTAGTATGACAAAAAGTGTGTAAAATGTCTCCATTTTTCTCATGGTGTGTTGAAACGATGTTTTGGATATACCAGCTTAAATACATTTTAAAAATTAACTGGCATGTTTTAACTGTAATGTGGCAATTAGGAAATGTAAAGTTACATATGTGGCTCTTATATTTGTCAGTGCTGGCCTAGAATGTTCCTTTATATGCCCTGCCCAGCCCCTCAGGACTCCTGGCTCCCACCCTAGAGGGACTGTTCTTATACAAGCCTTCTTTCTCAGTTTGTTCACGATTCCCCTAGAACATTCTCAAGGACACTCCCCCACCCCAGAGTGCTCAGTGACCACCTCTACACCCCCATGCACTGGTTCCATAACTACCCCCCACTTCCCTCTTCAGTGCCTTGTAGGTCCCACATATGTTTTTGGCTCCCAGGCCTACCTCCTATATATACTTTTCTGATAAATGGGGATCCTGAGGTGCCAAGGGGCTTTGCAAGGCAGAGGGACCTGGAGGTGCTATGCCTCCTGCTTCCCTCCCCCCATCCCCATGCACTCAGCCTCCAGAGTTCAGCTTCTGCTCCATCCCCTTCCAGAGCCACCTTCCCTGGGCCTCACCCCTGTCTCTCCACAGCTATAATTCTGCCCATCTTCAGCCCCTATACCAAGTATGCCATCATGATCAACGAGGCCACACCCTACAGCTACCCAGGTGAGTGGGGATTGGATCAACCTCTGGTTTTTCCAAGTCTCTAGGTCTGTCTGTCTCCTTGATATTCTCTGCATCTCTGACCCTTAATCCCCTGTCTTCTTTCTTCCTGGAGTCCCAATTCCCTCTTAGAATATAAAACAACAGACTAGCCTTTTTCAGGGCCCCTGGAGATCTGCTGGTCTCAGGGGCCCACCCTCCTGTCCTGCAGTGCCCGTCCGAGATGATGGGAACATGCCCGACGTGCCCAGCCACCCCCAGGACCCCCAGGGCCCAAGCCTGGAGTGGCTGAAGAAACTGTGAACACCTCCACTGACGGAAGGACATCCCCTCCCCTGTGGTCCCCAATAAAAATGTGAAAACCGATCCCAGAATCGAGTGTATGTTTATAGGTGGGAGCAGCAGACAGTGGCCAAGGAGAGCATGGAGTCAGTTTATTGGGAGGGGGTCAGTCAAAGGGAGGGCTGGCTAGGGTGGGGTAGGGCAGCAGTTTATCTGGCCCCCGGGAAACCCAACTTGAGTCCAGGGCCTCATCTGCTTCAAAGCTGAAGTCTTCCTCGACCTTTATCTGGAGGAGAGAAAAGGGAGGTGTGAGTAGGCCTGGGGTCTGGAGACGACCCTTCAACCCCACCATTCCTGCTCTCCCAGGCCCAACAGCCTCCTCTGTGCACCCCAGAAAGTCTCAGTGTTCCTGGGTCCACGTGGTCTCCAGGTTCTCCAGCCTCCCATCCCTCCCCCTCCTCCCCACAGCCTCCTCCAGGTCTTCCTCCTCTCCCCAAGCCTTCCTGGTGTTTTCCAGCTCTTCCCTTTCCCCACATAACCTTAGCCCTGCCACCCTGCTTCATGTCCTCTCTCTAATTCTCCCAGCCGGACACCTGCTGTGATGCCCACAGCCCTGATCCCTCCTCGTCTGGCCCCCGGACTCTAGGCCTCCCACCTGCACAGGGGCCAGTTCTGGAGTCAGTGGGACTCCTGTTCGGCGTCCTTCCCGGGGCGCTCGCCGCCTCTTTCGCCCACTGGGCCCCTCACCAGGGGCCGGGCTGCTGGGTTCTGGGGGTGCTGGTGTCCTTCTGGGTGGAGACAGCCCCTCTTTCTCTGGAGGCTCATTCTCAGCATTGCCTGGGGTGGGGGCATCTGTGCCCTGGCTGCCCTCGTCCTGGTGAGGAGACAGGAGGCAGGTGAAGACTGCCGTGGACTCCCGGCTCAGCTGGGCCCCGCAGACCCCGCAGACCCTGCACTCACCTCCAGCATGATGGTGAACTGACTGGCACGGTAGTCATCACCGTACGAGTCCAGCACTCTCATGAGGAACCTGCGCCAGGGAGAAGCCACCAGAGGACACCTTCATTTCCTGGCTGTTGGGGAAAGGGATACCCAGTGGCCCAGCTCTGGCTCCCTCGAAAGCTGAGGGTCCTTGACCTAGAAGGTTGGAGCTCCAGAGTCCGAGAGACCTGGGTACCATGCACCTGACCAGTCCGTGGGACTTGGGGCACAGCGAGGTGACCTCCGCACCTCAGTTTTCTGCTTTGTCTTTGGGAGATGACAACCCCAACTGGGGGGACTGCTGTGAGAGGGGTCCCACAACCAGATGTGGTCTGTAACCTAAAAGACTGGTGGGATGCTGGCTTAGCCAACCTTCAAGGGTAAGTTATTTTCATTAGTAACAAAAAGACCAGAGAGAGGAGTGTGTAGAACACCTCTTACCAACTCTGCCTTCTTTCTCTGTTCCTCTTCTCAACCCTTTTGGGGTTTCTTTGCTGCTTTTTTTTTTTTTAAGCTCTAATTGACTAAGTGCTATCTGTGAGCCAGCAAATCATAATAGGTCAGAAAGTACGAAAGAGGAGGGATGGCACCTGATTGGAACTTGAGGACAATGGGGAGGTCTCACTGGGAAGGGGAGAGAGTGGCAGAAGAATGTTTCTGGGGGCAGGAACAACAAGTGCAAAGGTCCTGAGGTGGGCGGGGAGACCTCTGGGAAGGGCCATCTGATTGCAGCCTGGTTGGCTGTGGGAAGGATGTCAGGTGGGACCCCTGCAGGGTTTTGAGCAGAGCAGTGACTTGGCCTGTCTTACCTTTTATTGTTTTGCTTTAGAAAAAAACCACTTATTTTAAAAAATTGTGGTAGTATACAAAGTTTCCCAATTTACCATTTTTAAGGGCACAGTGCAGTGGTGTTAGGTAACACACTGTCGTGTAACCATCAGCGTAGTCCGTCTCTGGAACTCTTGACCTTTCCAGAGTGAACCTCTGTCCACAGTTGAACAAGACTGCCCCAGTCCCCCACCCCCAGCAACCACCATTCCCCTCTCTGTCTCTGGTTTGATGACTCACCATGGAACCCTTCAGGATAAGGCCGATTCTCCCCATTGTGTCCCGAATGGGGACACAGGGTGGCAGGGGCAGCATCAGATTTGGGTCAGGCTGGCCCTGGAGCTCACACCCGCCCTGGTCCCAGTGATCCTAGGCGGGGGGCTCAGAGTTGAGCTCACAGAGTGAGCTCCTGTTTACTCCTCAGCAGCCTTGCAGGTTTGGCATGACTTTGTCCTCACCCATGGTTGTCAGGAAATGGAGGCTCTGAGAGGAGGTGTCGCTCGCTCAGCGTCACACAGCAACACAGTGCTGGAAACTTGAGTCTGAGACTTTCAGGCCAGGGCCCCTTCATTTGCTTCATTCACCACTCAGTGGGCACGCACCCGCTTCCCCCAGGCCCAGGCCAGCTCTTTCCTGCAAGATCCAATCCCACTCCTGGTCCTTAGGCCCTCCTACCCCTCCAGCCTCGCCTCCTCCTGGCCCCAGATGGCCAACCAGGCAGACAGGGAAGGTGGAGAAATGAGGAGAAGCACATGGAAACAAGGTTTCCATGCAAGAGGCATGCAGGCCAGGGCAGGCATGCAAAGGGGTTACCTCCGCTCCTGCTGCAGTCTCCGAGTTATCCTTTGCACCTGATGGAGCCTGTTCAGGACCCGCTCGTTCACCTGTGGGGAGGTGGGAGCACACAGGTCAGTGGGCCTCCAATTGACAGAGGGCGACTGGAGTCCCTGCTGTGACCAGGGAGCTGGCCCAAAGGTCGTCTTTGGACCCTAAGGGGCTGTACCTCCTACGCCTGCTCCTTCACCTATTCATGCCGGCCCTGTTCCTCTCACTTCTCCTCCCCTCCCCTCCCCTGACACTGGCCTCCACGCTGCTGCTGCAACCCCCTGCACACCCCCCTATCCTGAGGGCTTCACACATGCTCTTCCTGAGGTAAATGAGGTCATTATGGTGGGCTCCAATCCAGTAACTATGGTGGGCATCCTTACAAGAAGGGGGACGTGGGACACAGACTGTGCACAGCCACGGGAAAATGAAGGCAGAGGGCCAGGGCACACCAAAGACTGCCAGCGGACCACCAGACCCCAGGAGCGAGTTACGGAGCAGTTCTCCCTCACAGCCTCAGGGGATCAACCCTAACCTCGACTTCCAGCCTCCAGAACAGAGAAGCAGTGCATTTCTGTTACGTAGCCACCTAGTTTGCAGTGCTTGGTCACAGCAAACCAACATAACTAAATTCAGAGTCTTTCCGACAGCCATCCCTCCCATTTGACACCTTTCTGTAGCCTTCCCCTCACTGAAAAAAAAAAATCTAAACCTCAAACCATGCTGTTAGTGGTTTGTGGGCCTGCCCACTGCTCCATCCTTATTCTCACTACAGAGCTAATGCAGCAATTCAACGGAGAGAACCTGAGTCTGGGACAGGGGCTGTGAGGATATGGAGGGGAGAAGGACCCAGAGAGATTCAATGATAGAGAGGAGGGATGACTGATGCCAGGGGTATGAGAGACCTGAGGAGCTGGAGCTTTGACCTGTGATCGGTGGGGAGCAGGAGAGGCAGCCATGAGGCATCAGCGAGCTGGTCTGGGTTGTCAGGGAAGCTCCTAGAGAAGAGAGCACTCCAGGTACCTTGCACAGTGGCAGATGTATAACAAGTGGGTAATCAATGAATAATGAAAGATTCATCCTGCTGGGCAAGGAAGGCTGTGCATGTGAACAGAAACTGGGAGGGGGTGGTAACTTAGACCAGGGGAGCCCGACACGGGATCCACACTCACCTACCTGCTCGATCTCCCGGCAGCGCCGACCTAGCGCCTGGTACTTCCTGCGATTGAGTTCCCGTTGGCGCCGTTGCTGGCCCCGAGCTGCCTCTTCCTCTTCATCTCGCTCCTGGAGGCTCGAGTTGCCCAGACCCCCAGACACGAATTCTACTTCTGTCTCAAGCTCACTCTCCAGGATGTGACCACCAAACAGCGGAGGCAGCGCCAGCTCCGAGCCTGGCGGCGCTGAGAACTCTTCAAAACCCATGGTCCTGTAGAGTCAGGGGGCTCAGGGACTTTGAACCTCCGGTCCCCCACCCCTCCTCCCTCAGACCCAGAAGTCCAGGCCCCCAGTCCTTCCTTTCCAGGACCCACACTTCAGGCCCCGACACCCTCCGCCCAGGATCTGGAAGTTCAGACCCCAGACTCTTTCTTCTGAGGATCCAGGGAAGATCGACACCCAAATCCCTCACTGAAACCCAGGAGTCCAGGTCTCTAGTCTCTAGAACGCCAGCCTCCTCCCCCAGGATGCTCAAGCACAGACCCCAGTCCCTAAGAGTTCTAACCCAAAGCCGTTGCAGGAACTACAATCCCCATCAGCCCTCGGAGTAAAGCGCTTACGGCTGCACATTCTACAGGCGCAGTGTCTTTTGGGATTGGCAATTTTCCTCAAAGCCACTTACCCTTCTCTCTGCTCCAGCTCCATCTCGCCCTTGCTCTCGCCGCCCCAGGACTCAGAACTTCCAACCTTTCAAACCTCTAGGTTAAGTTGTTCGCAAAACTACCAGTCCCATCTGGCTTCACAGCCAAGCTTCCGGGACCCAGCCGCTAGGCCTCCTGGGAGTTGTAGTTCCTGATTTCCGGCTTTCCTCCCTAACCACCCACCCATCCGACCTCGAGTCCCGGCTGAAAGGCCTGGCTCACTCGTCCAACCCTGCCACCAGTCGTCTCGGCTGCCTCCGGCTTTATTCTCGTCTTGACGCCGTGTCGTCCGACCACGGCGATTCTCTGCTTAGGAGGCTCAGTCCTCGAAGGGGGCCGTGAGCCGGCGATGTCCCTCGCCTCGCCTCTTGCTCACCCCTTCTCCGGTTAGCTGCTGGTGCTAATAAAGTTGTTGTTCCAAACGCAGTCCGGAAGGACGTGGGGCGGGGACCAATCACAACGTAGCTTCGCCTTGGCCGCGGTGCGAGGGCGAAACGTCATCAGTAAGCGTCGACTGCTGTTGGAGGCTAAGTTCCTAGAAACGGAGGTGCGGGGAAGGAGGAGGTGAGTGTGGTGCGGCCGAGGCCAGGACGGGAGGCTGGCTTCCTGTGTCTGGGGATTGGACCGGAGCGAGGACAAAGGCGGTCTTTACTAGATTGACTACACCAAGGTCTCCTGTGCTCCCACAACGTTAGGACTCGGGGTGGGGGGCGAGAGTTTATGGCAGAAGCCGAAATGTCCCTTGCCTTCTTAGAACGCTTCATTTGGGGGGACTGGTGATCGAGTAATGACTTAACCCAAGTGTGGGAGGCACCATAGGGTGCCCCCAGGACGTGCGGGCCGTGTCACCAAGAGTGGGGTGCGTGGGTCAGGGAACTGGAATATAAGATGAGAACTGGAGGCTGAGCCTGTAAAAAGTGAGGGGAAAGGGTTGGTAAGCGAAGGAAGTGTGGCGAGGACTCATGGGCAAGGGGGATGGTGGCGGAGGTTCGCTGGAATCAAACGACGTCCTTGTACCTACTCCGTGCCAGGTGCTGCCCAGGGCCCTGGGGCTAGTGAACAATGAATGAAACGGCCCCTGTCGCCAAGGAAACTGTAGCTAAGAGGGGAAGACGAGCGTTAAACAAAATGATAGTAATTTAGAGAATCCTAAGTGTTGAGGCAAACTAAGGAGCTCATGGATATCTAATAGCGGGATGGGATCTAGTGTGGGGGGGGGGTGTCACAGAAGACTGACCTATGTCGCAAGACATTTATGCTCCTACCAGAGGGACGCAAAAATAATATAGTCAGAGGCCCCAAAAAGAGACCATAATGTGGTGGGTGTACAGATTAAATAAAATTGTTTATTCGTTTACCAAATATTTCTTGAATGCCTACTCAGTGCTAGATGGTGGGGATATAGCAGTGAGCAGACAGGCATGGTCCCTAGGTTTGCTTACGGTTTTCCCTGTGGGGAGGGGCAGAGAAAAGAGGATATGAAGAGACACCTGAGTCTTGTATAGGGGAGGGGGCTATGTTCTCTACAGAAAGGAAGATTTCGTCTTACCAAAAGTGAGTGAGGGGAATTGGGAAAGACGTGTGAGGTTATAAACAGGCATTTAAGAGGAAAGGCTGGGTCTTATAAAGAGAAGCAAGTGTAAAGGGAATGTGGTATGTAATGGAGAGAGCAGGATGAAAGGACAGACTAATCTTATAGACACACCTGGACATCCCTGGGGTTTTAAACTGGCAGCTCAAGGCCTACCTCTGTCCTGATTTTGCCTGTTTGGTGTGGCCTGTGCCATGGTGGTGGTGGTTTTTAATTTTTATTTTATTTTTATTTTTACCTCAATCATCTGTTTAAACGATAAGAAAGAGATGTTTTAAACTGGGAGGTTCCACATAAAAATTTTGTGTTTCTTGCTTCTCTTGAAAAAATCCGAAGACCTGGCAACACGCAGCCTGTGTTTCCACTGGTGTGTCTGAAGCTAAGCATTGGCTGTGCCTGTACATCAGTCATGAGTTCTCTGGTTCTCCAGGCCCCACTCCTCCCTATTGCCCAACCCCCAGGCTGCCCCACTCACTGGCCACCCACTTAGCCTCTGAGCACTGGAGTTTGCAGCCTCAGTTTACATACGTTAGAGGAGGGTGGTGCAGAAGGGGAAGACATGAGGAAGGGGGATGGATTTATGGAGAGAGGAAAGGGACAGAAAGAGAAAAAGATTGCTTTAATAACAAAACAAAAGCAGCCCTCGTCAAGTAGCTCAGTTGGTTGGAGCATTATCCTGTGCACCGAAAGACTGCGAGTTCAGTCTCTGGTCAGGGCCCTGGGAGGGTTGTGGGTTTGATCCCTGGTTGGGGTGTGTATGAGAGACAGCTGATCGGTGTTTCTCTTTCACATGTCTTTCTCTCTCTTTCTTCCCTTCCTCTCTCTCTAAAATCAATAAAAACGTGCTGTCAGGGGAGGGAAAGGAAAAAGCAGTGGGGAGGACAGAGTGGTGGGGATTGTACTGTGTAGAGTAAGTAGTGCTTCCCAACCTTTTCCTCTATGGGACTCACAGGAAAGACTAATATTTGTACAGCACCTGAGGCTGTTGAGGAGGCTGCCTGTTGCCAGAGGTGACCATCCTGGGCATTCTAGACATATGAGGCCTGTCTGGTTGCCCCGAAGGCTGAGAAGATCAGTATGTTAGGAAATCTGCCACCTAGTCGGGGTTCAACAACTGGCAGGAGGGGGAGGGGAGCTCTGTTATAGGAAAAAAATGAGAGTTTGCATCTTATTATGGGAAGGATATATCTTTTAAGCCTTAGCAAGGTGGTGGGGTGCAGGTTGTGCTCTGTCTTGTCAGTGAGGTGAGTGAGAGGGTAGGTGGTGTGAGCTGTGGCTGGAGATTATCTGGGTTCCAGAAGGTTGTCCATGGATTAATTTAGTAGGTGTTTATTGAGCACTTACTACATGCCAGGCACAAATAGAGGCTGGAGTACAGCACAAGTAAAAACTGCTGTCCTTGTGGAAACTGTATGCTAGTGGGATTGATGAGGATGAACCAGGGCCTCTGGGGACAGGGAGAAGCCCCTCCCGGTAATGAGGGGGAACCCTGCTCTCCCCCCGACAGGCCTCAGAATGTCTCTGGCAGACGAGCTCCTGGCTGACCTCGAGGAGGCAGCGGAAGAAGAGGAAGGAGGAAGCTATGGGGAGGAAGAAGAGGAGCCAGCGATTGAGGATGTTCAGGAGGAGACACAGCTGGATCTTTCTGGGGATTCGGTCAAGAGCATCGCCAAGCTGTGGGACAGCAAGATGGTGAGCAGGCTGCAAATGGAAGCTCTGGAGGGGTGAGGTGCTCAATGGCTTTTCCCAAACTGTCCTGGATTCTGACTCTCCTCTCCGCCCCAGTTTGCTGAGATCATGATGAAGATTGAGGAGTATATCAGCAAGCAAGCCAAGGCTTCGGAAGGTACCTTCCCTGCTGACTCAACCTCACCTGCCCACTTCGTCTCCTGCCAGGCCCCTGGGCCCCTTTTGCTACTTGTGGTTTTGGAAGTTGGGTCTGTCTCTGTAGGCCTTTTCCAGAGCTGCCTCCTTCTCTTCCATCCCAACCCAGTCCCCTTCTCTCCTGAAAAGATACTGCAATTTAAAGCCGACACTTCTAAAGTTCTTGCTGTGTGCTGAGTGCTCACCAGTTGCCAAGGCCAGCTGTCAGGGTTTCTAAGGGGGTCACGTAACCAGTTACAGGCATTTTACCATGTGTCCTGTTTACTTCACATTGTATATTTTATTTGTTTTTTTTTTTTAACATCCAACTTAATTTAAAGAATTTCTTTTCAGTTACAGATAACATAACATTATATTAGCTCCAGGTGTACAGCATAATGATTAGACATTTATATAACTTATGAAGTGATTCCCCCTGATACTTCCAGCACCCGCCTGGCACCACACATGTTTATTACAATGTCATTGACTGTATTTCCTGTGCTGTACTTTACATTCCTGTGACTGTTTGGTAACTACCAGTTTGTACACCTTAATGCCTTCACCTTCTTAACCCAGCCACTCAACCCCCATTTCCCATCTTCTTTAAATCAATGTACTTTTCTCATTAAATTTATATTAGAAGGGAAATTATGCTACTGTGAGTAGAAAGCTGGTCTAATTTGGTAAACAGGACGTGACCTTAAACATATGCAATGACTGAAGTATCACTGAAAATCTCTTCGCCCAACTTTGGGGAACACTGGTCTATCCCGACCAGCTCTCCGAGGGCGATCCTGTTCCACCCAGTTCTTCCCGTTGGGACGGGGCTCTCTGGAATTGGGTGGCCTTGTGAAGCTATAGAGGCTGTGGAGCACTGGGGTGGTGTCCTCAGAGCAGAGTTTCAGGGAGATTCACGTTTTCTTCTCTGTAAAGTTTTCCTTTGGCACCTCGGGGCCAGGCCTGTGGGTGCTGGGCACTCAGAGGAGTCAGTCGAGGTCAGACAGGCCAGGTCCAAGACAGCTGCTGGTGGGCAGTGCCTGCTGGGGCTGGAGACGCTCTGGAGCCACAGGAGGGCCAGCTGACCCCGCCTGAGGGGTCAGGGAAGAACCAACACCCGGACTGGACGTTGAAGCATGAATGCACACACTGGCCCAGCAGCTGGGGGATGTGTGTCCAGGAAAAAAGCTGCATGTGCAGAGCCTCGGGCATGGGGCAGCCCACCAGCCTGTTTCTCACCTTCACAGTGATGGGACCAGTGGAGGCGGCCCCTGAATACAGGGTCATCGTGGACGCCAACAACCTGACCGTGGAGATTGAGAATGAGCTGAGTGAGTGTGGGAGGGACAGACAGTACCCCAGGCTGGCCTTTCCCACGGTCCTGCCTCTGAGCCCCTCCGGTTAGCAGGAATCCAGGGTCTGCTGCCGAGACAGGGGCTTAAGTAAGAAGGAAGTGTGTTTTCCTCCCTCATGTAAGTCCAAGTGAGCAGTCCAGGCCGTTACAGCTTCTGGTGCCCAATCTCTTTTTGTCCTGTTGATCGGCTGTGGTACAGAGTGACTGCCTTCTTCCACCCATCACCTCCACATCCCCACCAGCAAAACGGGGGAGGGAAGAGGGCACAGCTCTCTTTAAGGGGTGACCTGGGAGTTGCACATGTCACTTGGAGACCAGAACATGTTTTGGCTTGCCCGGCAGTGAGGGAGCCAGAAACGTGGTCTTTATCATGGTATCCTTGCGCCCAGGTAAAGCTCAGGGGTTCAGCTACTAAAGGAAGAAGGGGGCATGGGTGTAGGGGACAGCCAGCAGAGTCTGCCTGTCTCCTCATCAGATGCCTCCTGTCCCTGCCCACCCCAGACATCATCCATAAGTTCATCCGGGACAAGTACTCGAAGCGCTTCCCTGAACTGGAGTCACTGGTGCCCAACGCCCTGGATTACATCCGCACGGTCAAGGTGAGTGGGAGGGGTGGGGGCTGGGAGAGAACCGAGGCCTCCCGAAAGCCTCCAGTGTGAAGGGGAGGCAGGTCCCTCCCCCTCCCTCGGACCCTGGGTCGGGAAAGGCTCCCTCGAGCAGCTGTGGTCTGAGGTGAGTGAGCACAGGAGGCAGGTGAGTGGGCTGCAGTGTGCGCTGTCGGAGGCCCTGCTGCCTCCCTCGCCCTCTGCGGTCTGCAGAGGGTGACAGGTAGCCTGGCTGCTGCCAGCTGCCCAGTGCGTGAGGGGTGAAGCCTGGAAAGCACATTCTTACAGTTCCTCCTCCCCACCCTCCACTCCCCAGGGTCTCCTGAGAGGGGCAGGGTGAGGCCCAGGCAGCAGGGGAGGGCGGTGGGGGGTGCCCCACTCCCACTGTGGTGGGCGGAGCAGGCAGTGTTGAGCTCTGACGAGGTGGCCTCCCTGCAGAGAGCTAGGGGGAAGAAGTGAGTGTTCAGTGTCCAGACCCCAAGCGGGTAGTAGGCCCCGATGGGTTCAGGGAACAAGGGATTGGAAGCATGAAGGCATAGGTGATGAGGTCAGATCACATCTGACCTCTCAGCCCCGGGAGGGAGGGTTGGGTGCCAGTGAAGGCAGGGACCCCAGAGAAGAGGCCCCACGTGCACCCAGAGGTGAGGGTGGTGGCCAGGGACGTCTGTGCAGGGAGGCAGTGATAGGTCAGATTTGCATTGAGTTGACTGGGCTGCGGGTCCTCTCTGGTGGCCAGTGGCACCGTTTCCGGATCGGCCAGTGCAGGGCAGATGGTGCGGTGCTGACACTCAGAGCTGGTAGGGGCAGGAGAGGCACCCTGCGGCAGACCCCACCCCTCCGGCCTCCCCAGTGCGGGAGTGGAGCAGCGGGTCTGGAGCCTCCCCACGTCCCCGTGCTGCCCCTCCACTGCCTCCTTGCCCGCAGGAGCTGGGCAACAGCCTGGACAAGTGCAAGAACAACGAGAACCTGCAGCAGATCCTGACCAACGCCACCATCATGGTCGTCAGTGTGACCGCCTCCACCACCCAGGGGTGCGTTCCTCGGCTGGGGGGCGGGGGGAGGTGCCGCAGACCCGCCGACAGCAGGCGGCGACCTCGGGGTCCTGGCAGCACGGGTGTCAGTCTCACGAGGACAGTTCGTTTCAGTTCTGCACGTGTTTCACGGGTGGCATCTGCCAGTCAGGCACCAAGCTGGGCTTGGGGGTCCCCACTGCGTGAGGAGCCAGCCTCCCCGCCCCGCAGGAGCCTATAGTGGAGGGGTGAGGCAGAGGGTGAGCCAGAATCAGGAGTGAAGGCGGGGTTGTTGCGGCTCTCTCATTGGCATCTGCTCCGTGCCTGAGAGAAGGAGCCGTGTTTAAACCCTGAGCAGAGTCCTGTGGGGTGGAGACCTCCCTCGGGGTGTCATCCTGTTCTGTGAACAAAGGTTGGCACATTTCCCCACCTGGTCACGGAATTTAGTAACCAGAACGTGGCTCCATCCTCTCAGAGCTCTGTCTGGGAGGAAGAAGGTACCCACACAGGTCAAAGGCCAAAGGCCAAGTGTCAGGCACAGAGGAGGGGTGCTTACCCAACCTGGGTCTAGTGGCTTCCTGGAGGAGGTGGTGATGCAGCCTCTGGCAGGGGCTGAGTTCTGAGGCAGCACACACCTGCATGTGCACACACATATGCACACGTACAGACACATGTACATACAGCGGGGGGGGGGCAGGGGACGTCCCACCACAGTCAGGCAGGAAACCCAGGAAGGGCTGGTCCATCCCAGCCACATCTCTGGCCTCCCCACCCTGCACCAGGCAGCAGCTGTCGGAGGAGGAGCTGGAACGGCTGGAGGAAGCCTGCGACATGGCCCTGGAGCTGAATGCCTCCAAGCACCGCATTTACGAGTACGTGGAGTCCCGCATGTCCTTCATCGCACCCAACCTCTCTATCATCATTGGGGCGTCCACAGCCGCCAAGATCATGGGTGAGCTCAGGGCTAGGAGAGGGGCCTCAGTGTCCTCTGCAAGATGGGGACACTGGTCCTGACAATGTGTCCACCAGTTTCCTATGGCTGCTACAACAAATGACCACAAGCTGAGCTCCTTAAACAACATGGTCTGTCACCTCATGGTTCTAGACAGCGGGTCCATCGGGGCCTCCCTGGGCTAAGGTCAAAGTGCAGGCAGGGCTGCGTCCCTCTGTGGAGGGTCTGGGGAGGGTCTGGCCCTTTGCAGCTTCTAGGGCGCCTGCGTCCTCACATCTCCGCCTTTCCCTTAAGCCTGGGTTCTCTGGGAAAATCGGCAAAGTCCCTTTGGCCGTGAAAGGCGCCAGGGTCTCAGGTTCTGGAGACTGTGATGATCATCTCTGGGGCCGCTCTGCTCCACATGGGTTAGCGTGCTGTGTGGGAGGTTCAGTTTAGGGATTTGTTCGGTTGATGACACAGTTTCCCTACTCCAGGCACCGGCCCAGCTCATAGTAGGCCCCATCACTGGTAGAGGAGTTTCCCCACCTACAGCCCTCTTCCCTCCCTGCACCCGCACACCAGCCCATGGGAACCCCCAGTGCTGCACACCTGGGCCCTGTGGCCGGCATTCCCCCAGGCGGGCTGTGCTGCTTTGCAGACTCCGGGGTCAGGTTCCTGTTGGGCTGCTTGCTGTCTGTGCACCCTTAGGCCAGTTGCTTCACCCCTCTGAGCTTTCTCCGCATCGCCCCTCTGAAATGAGACAGGCCCTCCCTGGCAGGGCCCCCATGGATCCAACCAGAAACTCAGTAAACGAGTGGACACAGGTGAGCTGGCAGACAAGTACCCCTGCTGCTTCTCACCTCCTCCCCCACCCCTCCCGCTGCAGGGGTGGCTGGCGGCCTGACCAACCTCTCCAAGATGCCTGCCTGCAACATCATGCTGCTGGGGGCCCAACGCAAGACACTGTCTGGCTTCTCGTCCACCTCCGTGCTGCCCCACACCGGCTACATCTACCACAGTGACATTGTGCAGTCCCTGCCCCCGGTGAGCCCCCTGCTGTGCCTGAAGGGAAGGGCCCTGTCAGCCTCAGCATGTTGCCATCAACGGACCACGGTGGTCGGGAACCTGGGGGACAGGGTCACATGGGGTATGAGGACAGGGACACTGGAGCAAGTGCACTGGGGCTGGGGTTCCGGCAGTGCCACTCGTCATTAGGTGTCCTTGGACAAGAGGCCTGAGCCGTGTGCCTCAGTCTTTCCATCTGTGAGATGGGGACAACAGAGCCTGCTTCACGGCCATGATGAGGACTCATCCAGGTCAGGCCTCACACCTGGCAAGTGATATAAGTGTAACCTTGTGAGTCTGAGGGTCTCCCAAGCCATTTTCATGCTCAGTGACCTACACGGAGGACTCACAGAACTGGCCAGAGCTGACCCTGAGGGGAGAAGCTCGAGGGGCAGGAGTACCCACTGTGGTGCTCCCGGGCATCCTGCCCGTGGTCAGCACACGTTTCTTTCCCGTCCGGCTGGGCCTCAGTGTCCAGGGTCTTTACTGGGACTCGGTTACACAGGGTGGCTGATCCCCGTCTCCAGCTTGACTGATTCCCTGGGACCCAAAGACCCCCCCAATCACAGGGTTACTGTCTGGCCAGGGCCAGACACCTTAGGGGCAGGCTGGGGCAGGCTGGCTTTTCACTGCACGTTGCTGCTGCTAACTTCGTTATTTTTATGATCACTGTTATCTGAGACTTGTGGGGCCAGGTTTTACATGTACCACCTTGGTGTTCCCCGAAACATGGGTCACCTTTTCTTTTGTGGCACCCAACACGGTCTTCAGTGATAATCCTGCGTATGTTCTGCTTTAATCATAACAAGTTTATTTTTTGGTATTTGATGATTTTCCACCTGTAGCAGTACAGGTAAGTTGTCTCTGCAAGCCAGAGTAATTTTTTTAAAGCAGGTTGAGAGAAAACACATTACTTTGTTACTGTGGCCGTTGTTACAGTGACGCATGGCATGAGGGTAGGATGCTGACAGGCAGAGATTGGACCATGGTGGCTGGCGTTTCGGGAGTCCAGGGGTCTCACTGAACCCTCACCTTGACTTGGCCTCGGTTTCCCCTTCTTCTAGGATCTCCGGCGGAAAGCAGCCCGCCTGGTGGCTGCCAAGTGCACGCTGGCTGCCCGTGTGGACAGTTTCCACGAGAGCACAGAGGGCAAGGTGAGGGGCGGATGTGGCTCTGGCCCGTCCAGGGAGGGTGATCAACCTGTCATAGGTCACCGTCCCCTCCCCCCAGTTTCCTGTCTCGCTGCTCTTAACAAGTGACCACAGACATAGTGGTTTAATGCAATACAGGGTTAATGTCTTAGAGCCCTGTAGGTCAGAGTCCAAGATGGGCTTCGCTGGGTTAAAGTCAAGATGTTGGCAGAAGTCATTCATTCTGGGGGCTCCAGGGGAGGGTTGGTTCCTGTACCCTCTCCCACTTCTAGAGGCCTCCCACGTCCCTGGTCACGTGGCCCTCCCTCCGTCCTCAAAGCCACAGTGCAGCACCTCCCATCCCCGCTTCTGCTCCTGCCAGCTCACCCCCTCTGCCCCTGAAGGATCTGTGACATCGGGCCCCTCCCCTCCCCTCCCCTCCCCCTCCCTCCCCCTCCCCTCCCCTCCCCCTCCCTCCCCTCCCCTCCCCACCTCAGGACCTCACCCTGACCACATCCACGAAGTCCCTTTTGTTATGTCATGTGACATTCAGGGACTGGAGATTCGGATGCAAGCCCCTTTGGAGGTGGGAGTGGGGGGCATTTTTTTTTTACCTGCTGTACTGGGATCTTTTGCCCTGCCACCTTGAGTCACCATGCAGTGACCATTCAGTTAACCCTGTGTTCGAGGCAGTCTTGTTCCCTGTGAGGAGAGACATTTTCACTCCATCTCTCTCCTCCTCTCTCCCTCCCCCACCCCTGCGCTGCTCTGGAGGCTGGGGGTGAGGGTGAGCAGCACGGACCAAAAAAAGCCCTGCCCCAGTGGCATTCTCATGCTAACTGGTGGGTGGGGGGCAGCGCAGGGAGGGGAGACAGCAGGTAAATCTGTAGTGTGTCCAGTGGTGCCCAGTCAGTGCTGGGGGGTGACGTGGAGGGCACTTGGTGGCCAGGGAGGTGGGCGTCTGGGAGCTGAGCATTTCACAGAGACCTGAGTGAAGTGAGCGCGCCACTCGAGCATCTCGTGGGTACCAGAGGGACAGTTGCTGCAAAGGCCCTGAGGCTGGAGCGCAGCCAGGCTGGGAGAGGAGGCTGGCGGGCTGGGGAAGGCCATGGGCTGTGTTTCTTGGGACCTCGGCTTCTGTGGATGTGCTGAGAAGGGGCCGATTTGTGGTCTTTCCTGAGGAAGAGCCCCGGGGATTTGTAGGGTGAGGGAAACATGGAGTGGAGGCTGACCGACTCCTGGGCATGCCCCACTTGCTGACCTGCAGAGAGAGCGGGTGGGAGGTGGGGCCGGCGGGAGTTCTTGGGTGCTGCTCACATCAGAGTGTCGAGGAGACCGTTGTCTGTGGGCACAGTGTTCAGGGGCCAGTCTGGGGGTCTCCAGCTCGTAGGTGGAGCTGAGCCCTAGAGAGCCAATAGTGACTGAGCTGGCGAAGCAGCTGCATCTCCTCCCTGTACCCCTCTCAGGTGGGCTATGAACTCAAGGATGAGATCGAGCGGAAGTTCGACAAGTGGCAGGAGCCGCCCCCTGTGAAGCAGGTGAAGCCACTGCCCGCGCCCCTTGATGGGCAGCGCAAGAAGCGAGGAGGCCGCAGGTGGGGCGCAGGGGATGGCCAGGCGGGGCAGGGCGGGAAGGGAGGGGCTCGCCCTGTCCCAGCTGACTCCCTCTGCCCTGTGCTCAGGTACCGGAAGATGAAGGAGCGGCTGGGGCTGACGGAGATCCGGAAGCAGGCCAACCGCATGAGCTTTGGAGAGGTGGGACCCTGGGGCCCCCTCCCCACCCACCCTGCCCTGTCCCCTGCTGTGTTTCTGTTTGCCCTGTGGCCCCGGCCCCCCTCAGATCTGGGACACCACTGCAGCCTCCTACCTGGTTCCCCCACCCCAGTCTCTCAGCACTTCATCTACCCAGCCCCAGAGGGATCTTACACAACCCTCAGCTCCACCTCCTCGTCTCAAGGCTCTCCATCGACCTAGGCTCCTGGTCCAGGAACTGCAGGCCTCCCTGGCTAGCCCCTTTCTGTTCCCCCTCCCACATCCTGCCTTATACCTGCCAGTACTTCTGTCTCATCATCCAGGCCTCCTCCTGGACCCACAGAAACCACACACACACACAGGCCCTCTCACCTGTCAGCTTGGGGATCAGTAACAGGACCCAGCTATTAGACGGACCTCCAGTGTCACCTGGGGCCTCAGCAAGGCTCACTGCACTCAGGCCACAGTAGGTGCCTGAATGGGTACCTGCAGGACTGGCTGGTCAGGTGGACACCTGGGCTTCTAGCCGATCGAAGGGTAATTAATTCCAGGACACCCCCCCTCCCCCAGATTGAGGAAGACGCCTACCAGGAGGACCTGGGCTTCAGCCTGGGCCACCTGGGCAAGTCGGGCAGTGGGCGTGTGCGGCAGACACAGGTGAACGAGGCCACTAAAGCCAGGATCTCCAAGACGCTCCAGGTATGGCTGGGCCTGGTTGGGAGGGGTGAGGCAGGCATGGCTGCAGAGCCCACGTTGTCACAGCCGGGACCTGCCCTTCCCTCCACAGCGGACCCTGCAGAAGCAGAGCGTGGTGTATGGCGGGAAGTCCACCATCCGCGACCGCTCCTCAGGGACTGCCTCCAGCGTGGCCTTCACCCCACTCCAGGTACCTGGGAAGCCCCTTCCCCTCCCCGGGTTTGGCTGCTTTGCCTATTCACACAGGGCTGTGGGAGGGGGTTGTCAGGAACCAGGCCACCTGCCCACCCCGTTGCCTTTCTCCCTCGCCTACCCAGGGCCTGGAGATTGTGAATCCCCAGGCAGCAGAGAAGAAAGTTGCCGAGGCCAACCAGAAGTATTTCTCCAGCATGGCTGAGTTCCTCAAAGTCAAGAGTGAGAAGAATGGCATCATGTCCACCTGAGGGGCCACCCTGGGTGGCCAGCCACTGCAGGGCCACAGGCCCTGTGCATCTGAAGAGGTCCAGGGTTGGGGCTGGGAGGCTCCAGCAGGGAGAGCCGCCCCGCCGTCAGCCGGTGCCAGAACTAGAACTGTCCAAGGAGGCACAGAGGCCCCCGGCACCGAGATCACCACCCCATTCAGGGGCAGAGCCTGTCTTTACCACGTCTCATCTTTTTTTATTTTAATGAGGAAAGGAGGTAACTTTTGGGAGAAGCACGATTAAAAACACATTGTCAGGATCTGTCCCAGGGGAGTGATTGTCAAGCTGCTGGGCGACTGCAGGAGTCCGAGCTGCCTGGCTGGGGAGACAGAGCTTGGGCTTGGTCACCACAGGGTCCCAGGAAGAGGAGCACCCTCTCCGTCTCCACACCCCTCGGGGAACCTCGGGTGTTGTACACCCGAACAGCATATCTGCCGAAAGCCCCAACTGTCTGTGTAGGCCAACCTGAGTGGCCGCGGCATCGTGGGCGACTGGCCTCCCCTTTCTGCGCTCTCGTACCACAAGGTGCCCAGGAGGCAGCCAGCACTGGGCTGGCTCTGGCCCCATGACTGGGCACTGTTTTGCCCATCCAGTTTTTGCTGGGAGCTGCCCCCCTGCTGTGCTGAGCTCTACTCACCAGGTACATGCGAGGGGCCCCCAGTCTTCCTTGGGACCCAGGCAAGGTCTCCTCCACTTGGGTTGAAAGGGGCAAGCTGAGGGGGCTCCTGGGCTACAGACAGGTGGGGAAATGGCTTGGGCAGTACAGGCAGGGGCCCGAGACCTCACTTACCCTGCAGGGGCTCATTCAGGGGGAGTGCTGCCCACAGCCCCGTCCACTCTGCCCTGAGCCAGGCTTCACAGTGGCACCGAGGAGCAGGCCAGGTCCCTCACCTGCGATGTCCATGCCCCTCCTCATTACTGTCAGCAAGGAAGAAATTGTCCTCGACCCTCAGTGTTCTTTCTGGTGGTCCAACAGACACAAGAGATTAGCAAGAAAAAATCACCAAGTTTAATACATTATCTCTTAATATCTCTCGTTATGGGCACAGACCCTAATTCAAATTTCTCTAGACAATTAAGGGAAGGGGGCAGAAATTTCTCTTGAGCCTGCAGGGTCTGGGTTGATACAATCGAGGCACATCTTGGGTGGCTCATTTTGAACCCCTACATTACCCAGGAGGTGAATTCACAGGCAGGAATCAGCCCTGTGGAAGGTGGCATCTCCTCTCTGGCCAGTTCCAAATGTCTCAAGTGCAAACTTCTCCCTGGGTCTCTCAGGTTTCTGGGTCCGATCTCTCTCTTTCTCTCTCTCTCTCTCTCTCTCTCTCCCCCCCCCCTTCTTCTTCTCCAAGCCACACCCATTCCCCCTTGGGGCTCCTTGTGTGGCCCTGGACCCCAGTCCCTCCAACAGCCCAGGGCTCTGTCTCTGGACCTCGGGACCTCTCTGGGTCTGTCTCCTCCCACATGGCAGAGACTCCGCATACCTGAGGGCTTCCTTCTAACGGCCAAATTACCCTAGGTCACATAACGCTCCCCAAGTTTATCCTTGAGCCTTTAGATAAGTCTTGTGTAAGAGTGACAGCCTTTGTGATCTCTGCTTAGGGGTCTGGGGGGAAGGGCCTCCTGCCCCTCTGTCCACAGCTCTTCAGAACCCCACCTCCCCGGGCCAGAGTGAATCCAATGGAAAGGGGTGAGGGGGATGGTTTCAGGAAAGAATCTGAGTCACCTGACCCTGCCATGCTGTGTACACTTGCAACAAAGACCTTGAAGCTTAGTATGTTTCAGAACTACCTGGAAGTTTTGTTAAAAAGGGCTGCTGGGGCCCAGAGTTTCTGATTCAGTTGGTTTACAGTGGGCTTAAAACCGCATTTCTAACAAGGTCCCAGCAGATGTTTATGCTATTGATCCAAGGACCACATTCTGAGAACTACAGCTCTTGAAAATCACTCTGAAAACCACTGCTCTAGAAAATCAGATTAGCTGCATGCTGGAATCCTTTCAGACGTTTTTAAAATTACTGCTAGCTGGATCTGATCACCAGATTTTGTTTAAAGATTTTTTTTTTTTTTTTAGAGAGGGGAAAGGGGGAGAAAGGGAGAGAAACATCAATTGGTTGCCTCTTGTACATGCCCCAAATGGGGACAGAACCCACAACCCAGGCCGTGCCCCAATCAGGAATCCAACCAGTGACCTTTTGCTTCAAGGAGCAACACCCAACCAACTGAGCCACACCAATCAGGGCCCAGATTCCCCTGCCTCAGCCCACGGTGAGACCCGAGTGTTTGGATTTTTAAAAAATTCAACCAGGTGCTTCTGGTGTGCAGCCAAATTTGAGAAACTGCTCTGGATCCTTGCTACTCAAAGTGTGAACTGTTGACGCTCTAGTCTCCTGGGATGTTGTTAGGAAAGCAGAATCTGGGACCTCTGGATCAGAGTCTGCATTCTAACCATCCCCTAAGTGATTCCTGGGAAGTCCAAGAGGCTGCTCCATCCAGGAACCACATTTTGAATAGCAAAGCTCTACATCAAAACTCTCAAACTCTAGTGAGCACAGGGATCATCTGGGAAGTTTGTAAAAAAGTACAGATCTCTGGGGGCCATGTGGACCTAAGAGCACTACATTTTTTAAAAAGACTATTTTTAGAGGGGAAGGGATGGAGAAAGAGGGAAAGAAACATCAATGTGTGGCTGCCTCTTGTGTGCCCCCTACTGGGGACCTGGCCTGCAACCCAGACATATGCTCTGACTGGGAATTGAACTGGCAACCCTTCGGTTCACAAGCCTATACTCAGTCCACTGAGCCACATCAGCCAGGGCAAGAACGCTGCATTATTTTTTTTAGCTTATAAGAAACAAATTTATTACTTTTTTTCCTAATTTTATTTTAATCATTGTTCAAGTACAGTTTTCTGTCCTTTACTCCCATCCCAGTCCACCCACCCTTCCCTCCCCACCTCCCTCCCATTTCCACCCCCCCTAGTTTTTGTCCATATGTCCTTTATATTTGAAGAATGCTGCATCTTTACAAACATTCTTTTCTCCCTGTCACAGACAATTCTGATCAGTTCTCATTTGCATTTATCTGACTTTCCTCCACCTAGAGAAGATGGGGAAATCTGGCTTCCTGTCTTGACGGGTGTGACCCATAAGGTTCACGAAAACGCCAGTGCTTAGCAAGGCTTAAAACACAATTGTTCCTCATATATTTCATCCATTCAGCAAAGGGTTACTCAGTGCTTCCTGATGAGTTGAATGATTATGAAAATGATGGCAGACATGCAAACATCAATCCCAATCAACAGAGCTCACATGGGACACTCAGCTTTGGATGTTAGGAAACTTTTCTTCCCAAGAGAAGATCACAGAGCAGTGATCTTAAGAACCAATTAGGCATGTCCTGACCAGTGTGGCTTGTTTGGGCGTCATCCAGCAAAGCGAAGGTTGGATTCTCAGTCAGGGCACATGCCTGAGTTGCGGGTTCCATCCTCTCAGTCTGGGTGCATGTGAGAGGTAGTTAATGTTTCTCACATCTATGTTTCCCTCTCTTCCTTCATTACCGTAAGCAAACAAACCAATAGGCATATGCATAATCTCATCTGTACCTTCTGAAACGTCCTCATGACACCTAGGGAAGGAGGGTGCAAAGGAGAATTACTATCTCACAGCCATGTAACCCACAGATGCAGGACAAAAGCTCCATGCCTCCGTGGTGCTTCCTAACTAATTCAGTTATGCGTGGTGCCAGTGACTTGGGGCATTATCTTGTGCTGCCTCCATCAAGGGCTGAGTCTCAGAGACGCGCAAAACACAAACACTTGGAGAAAAACTGTGCTGCTGAAAGACAGGGACTACCCTGCCTGGCCGGAGGCCAGGGACGCAGAAGGATGCGCCCAGTTCCCAGATTTGCCTGCTCTGCCCAGTTTCACATGCCTAAGAGCGGGTCGTGTCCGCTCGCTATACTATTGGACAAACTGGTTTGAATGATGACAGTCAGGACAAACGAGAAGAAAGGGGCGGAGCCTCACGTTCAGCTCCTCCCCCTTGGCCCAGTAGTGTTTTGATTGGCAGATGACTTCAGCTTTGAAAGCACCTGTCTCACATTAAGTACGCGGTCTTTAACTCCCACTTTGCCTCCCTTCCTTCACTTTTCCTACCCACTTCCAGGACCAACCAATGGCTTCAGGATAGAATATTCCCTCCCAACCAATTAAAAATGGCTCTAAACTTGACGGACGATTTCCCTCCCTTGATTAGCCTAGCTCCACCTCCCTGCCAATTGGTTTAGGAGAAAGGGGCGGGTATATCCAATCAGCATGACACAGGATTATTGATTGACGCACAGGCCCTCGCGCTGGCGTGTTGTGCCTTGCGGCGGGAGGAGGAGGAGGAGCCGGGAACAAAACGTAAGCCAATCCTAGCAGCCTGAGCGGGAGGCCAATCGAACGCCGCGCCTTGGAGCTGTTGCCCAATCGTCAAGAGGGGGCCGGCCTCATCCTTGTCAAAGACCAGTAGAACGCGCCCAAAGGGCAAGAGCGACGTGCGGCAGGAGCAATGGTAGCGGTATATTCGGAGCTTGGGGGCGGGTCGGCGCCAGAGACGAGAAGAGAGGAGGGGAGTCCTCCTCCGCCGCCGCCATCTTGGACCGGGCCCGTCAGCTTCCGCGGAGCCATCGGCAGACGCCGCGGCCTCCCTTGAGCCCCGACCCCGTCGTCAGAACAACCCCGGGTCCACTTTCCCCCACCCCACTTCCGCTCCGTGCCGCTATCGCGATAGCGCCCGGGCCCGGGGCGCGAGAAAAAGGCGGCGGGTGCTCGCCTCCCCCGCCTATCGCGATACGCTCCTCAGCGGCGGCGCCAGCTCCTGTGGTGAGAGCGTCAGGCTCGACTGGGCCGGATCCCTTCCCTCCTCTTCCCGGTGCCGTCGACCGCCTTACCCGTTGCCCTGCCCCAGCGATACCGCCTCCTGTCGCGACACGGTCTTCCCCGCCCCCGCTGGGCGCTCCGGTTCCTGGCGCGACGCGGGCTCCGGGAAGGTTGGCCCCGGCCGTCCGCCGTCCCGGCCGTGCGCGCTCCCTTTTCCGCGCCCCTCGGCGTCGCCTGGAGTCCGCCCGCGACTCCGGCCCCGCGTGGCGTCCGCGTATGGCCCGCGGGTGTGAGATGTGAGCCCGAGTGTGAGGTGCCGCCCCTCCGCGTCGGCTCCTCGCCTTATGGATGCGGGCGCCCTGGGGCCCAGGTGGCGGCCCGATCTCTGAAGCCCTTC